GGCCCGGGGGGGGGCGCATGCGGCCCCTTGTCTAGGTTCCCGCTCTGGGGGTGGGGGTTCAGGGTCCAACTTTCCCATGGGCCGGGGGGGGGCTTCACTGCTCAACCCCTGGCTCTGCGGCAGGTCCTGTCCCCCCTCCACCCCCTTCCTGCCCCCTCCCCTGAGCCTGCAGTACCCTCCCCCCAGAGCCTCCTGCACCCCACGAAACAGCTGATCGGGAGGTGCGGGGAGGCGCTGATCCACAGGGCTGCCGGTGGGTGGGAGGCGCTGGGAGCCAGGGGGGAGCTGATGGGGGGGCTGCTGACGTATTACTGGGGCTCTTTGGCAATGTACATTGGTAAATTCTGTCTCTTTCTTGGGCTCAGGTTGGCCACCCCGATTTAGAGGCTCACAGCTGCACAAATATTTTTTAAGGATTTTTTTTCTACTTGTATCCATTGACATTTTCACAGCTGCACAAGATTATGAGGTTCAAACATTCCCCCCCCCCAGTTTTTATCCATTTAAATTTTCACTGTCACACCCAGTCACGAGTTTTAAGCATTTTTTAAAATCTATTTCTAGCCATTTAAATTGTCACCGTGATGGGGTTTCACCATTGCCTTTCCATTTGTATTGATTGAAATCTTCTGAGTAGGGGGAAGTCGTAGGGCAGTTCGGGGGGCGGAGGGCGGCCAGATGAGAATTATTTTACAACAGTAGACGCTGACGATCGACATGTTTAAAGCGGCATAACCGTTAAACTGCAAACGGTCGCCCTCCCGTGTCAAAATGCTCCTCTGTCCGCAGGCCATAGGGTGACCAGATGTCCCGATTTTACAGGGACAGTCCTGATATTTGGGGCTTTTTCTTATATGGGCTCCTATTACCCCCCACCTCCCCGTCCCGATTTTTCACACTTGCTGTCTGGTCACCCTAGCAGGCCGCATGGTCCTGACGTTGCTTTTGTTAGCATGGCTGGAAATATCTCGGCCTTGTTCTGCGGGTGTCCGGTGACACCGGCGTTTACCCATGAAAACCGTCTGTTAGATCCCAGCCCGCCCGGCTGTGCACAAGGTGCCCCTCAAAGGGTGCCAGGCTGAGACTGGCTCTGCTTGCCACAGCTCCCTCTATAAATACCCCGCGGTGCTGACAACAAGCAGCCCGTCTTCCAAGCTCGCCCGCGGGGGGGTGTCACAGCGCCACCTGCTGACCCTTCCCCGCCATAGCAAGCTGAGCTCCCTCCCTCCCTCCCTGCCTCTCTCTGACTCAGGGGTCTGCATGGCCGCGCACGAGAGCAGCTACAACACCCAGGCCACCAACTACAACAGCTGGGACGGCAGCACCGACTTCGGCATCTTTCAGATCAACAGCCGCTACTGGTGCCAGAACGGCGACGAGTACAGCTCCAACATCTGTCAAATTCCCTGCAGCGGTGAGGTGGGGGGAGAGATCATCTCTCTTGGAGGGAGCCTTGTCGAGCTGTTCCTCAGCTGTCCTGCCCCAGAGGTGGCTGCATCTCAGCCATCCCCATGCGGCGTTATGTGCAGCTGTTCCCCAGCTTCCCTGCCCCAGAGGTGGCTGCCTCTCAGCCATCCCTGTGCGGTGTTATGCACGGCTGTTCCCCAGATGCCCCCCAGATGTGGCTGCATCTCAGTGCATGTATTTCATTTGGCTAGTCTGAGATCTGTACGGGTGGAAATGTCACCTGTGTGATAAATGGGATGGGTGGGTTTGGGGTGGGAGGGATCGAGGGGGGAACTGGGAACCACCCTGCTCTGACCCCCCCCACTCACCTGTCCTCCCCCCTCCCAGACTTACTGAGCAACAATCTCTCAGCGGACGTTGAATGTGCTAAGATCATTGCCCAGGACTCCAACGGCATGAGTGCCTGGTAAGTGTGGGGTGGGCCTGAGGGGGGGACATGGGGAGTCTTGTGTAGAAGAGAATCTCGGCTTCAGTATTTTTTGAAAGCCTGTTTTCAGCCCTCGCGATTGTGCCGGAAATCTGGAAACCGTGAGCTGAACGCGACCGACAGGCTCAGACCCCAGATCCGCCCCAACGCCCGTGAGCAAAGAGCCCAAACAATTCCCACCTACGTGTTGGCAGAGACCCCTCCCCCGCCCCAGATGTGCATGAGAAAACAGCTGGTTCAAACCCCGCCACCCCCCCACAGACCCTCGCACACTCCAGGAAACAAAGAAAAGGACCCCAAAATGAAGCATTGTAAGAAAAAAAAAAAACCCAAAACCTTCATGATTTTTCTGCAAATCTTATGAGTGTTTGTTTTTTTTGCTGATCTCACGATTTTCCTGTGAATCTCTTGGTCTTTTCTTTGCTAATCTCATGATTTTTCTGAAAATCTCACGTCTTTTTTTGTAAGTCTCAATTTTTCCGTGATTCCTTTTTTTTCTTTTGCTAATCTCATGTAATTTTTTTTTTGTCAAACCTCATGAGTTTATTCTGCTCATTT